CCAGGCCTCTGCCCCCCGCATGTCCCAGCCGTGCAGCGGGTGGCTGGGGGAGGGGCAGTGCGCTGGGCTGTCCTCACCCACACACGTCCTGCCGGTCCCATCCAGGGTGAGCCCCTCTGGGCACTCGCAGCGGAAGGAGCCGGCCGAGTTCACACAGCGCCCGTTGGGGCAGACGCCAGGGAAGACCTCGCACTCATTCACATCTGCAGAAGGAGACACAGGGCCTAAGGGGGAGCCAGGGGTGGCCACTTTAACAGAGGCAGCGAGCGGGCTGGAGCCCTGTAGCTAATTCCTGGGTAAAAGACCCACAAGCAAATACAGGAGCCCCTCGGCTCTCAGCAGCGCGGTCGGACATCCTGGGGCAGGGCGCTCGGCCGCTCTTCGGTGCAGGACTGGGCTGTCTCTTCTCACGTTGTTACTGACCCTGCGGGGAGACCCCGTCCGACCGCCGGGTTTGCCTCAGCTCTGGGAGGGGAGAGGGGGCTAGTGGTCACAGCCGGGGCGGATACATCTGGGTTCTATGTAAGGCCATCAGAATGGCAATGCCAGGTGCCCAGAGGGGGTGAACAGAACCGGGAACCATCATGTGACCCCCTCCCATCCCGCATCCAATCCCAGCCCCTGGCAAACAGAGGCGATGCTCTCGGACCTGAGCCTGAGGGGTGACCGGGGGGGGAGGCTGCCTGCAGGCTGGGGCCGATTGCTGGGTGTGGGGGTGAGTCTCAGCTGGCTTAGGGGGAGGGGGGGCAGGGTCCTGGCTAGGGTTGCCAGATACTTTCCCAAAAATACTGAACAAATTGGTGGGGAAAAAATTGGTTGAACCAAGAAAAAAAGGACCAAACGCTCCCCGCCCCCGCCCGACGCAGCAGGGGAAGAACGTCCCGCGCGGCTTCCCTCCGAGAAACCAGAAAATAGCGAACGTTTGACACTTCTGGGGTTTGACTGGCCAGAGGCCGACACCGGACACCTGGCAACCCCGTCCTGGCTCTGGGCGGACCAGTCTGTGCTCCGCCTAATAGCCCTGCTGCCTGCAGCCTGTCACCAGTTGGGGGAGATCCCTTTGTCGCTCTTTGCAGCCGGCTCTGCACTTGACGCTCTCGGATCCGTTTTGTCTCCTCTGCAGCTTTCGCCACCTCGCTCTTTGCCCTTCGCCCAGCCCATGGGGAATGTGCGGGGCAGCCCTGCCCAGAGCAGACCCCACGAGCTCCCTCTCCCCAGTCTCACCGGCTAGTCCTGCCCCTTGTTTCCTAACAGCTCTGCCCAGGGCCCTAGCTCACTTCAGCGCCCGACCGGCCGTTTGGCATCTTCTCACCCTGCTCTGCTGAGAAACCAACTCCCTGCTGCTCCCAGCCTCCTGGTGCCCCCAGTCCCCCAGGCAGCGGGGCTATCCCGGGACACGGTGCTGTCTGGCAAGAGCCACCCCTGCCTCTGACACGTGCCGTGGCAGCGCTGTGCTGGCCTCCCTGTAGCCCCTCGGCGAGGGCTAAGGGGTGTCTGGAAACAGCGCGTTCCTTCGGAGATGCGCACCTGGCGTGCCTCCTTGCCGGCTGGGGCTGTGTCTGCGCCCCCTTGGTCTGCGCTTCCAGAATGACAACGCAGGAGCCTGGGGACCCCACCCCCACGAGGGGAGCAGCTGGCGGTGCAGGGAGCCCAGCTGCACTGGTAGTGCAGGCCTGGCCTCAGGCTGCGTTCTGGTTCAGGGCTCTGTGTGGGGCTAGGGTGAGGAAATCAATTGGGGGGTTAGAGCCCCCCTCGATCTCCCTAAATAGAGCCCTGGTGGCTGCAGCCAGGCCAGGGATCATGGGGCACCAGCCTGCCTGGGGGAAGTGAAAAACAGCCCAGTGTGGTGCACTTAGCGACTGGTAGTGCAGGCCTGGCCTCAGGCTGCGTTCTGGTTCAGGGCTCTGTGTGGGGCTAGGGTGAGGAAATCAATTGGGGGGTTAGAGCCCCCCTCGATCTCCCTAAATAGAGCCCTGGTGGCTGCAGCCAGGCCAGGGATCATGGGGCACCAGCCTGCCTGGGGGAAGTGAAAAACAGCCCAGTGTGGTGCACTTAGCGGCCCAGCCACCCACCCCCCGCCCCCCCATTGTCCCAGCTGGGCAGCAGGGGGCCACAGTGAGTGACACATGCACCCCCAGTCACTGGGCTCCTTGGGCGGGAGGGAGGGAGGGAGGGTCCCACTCACATGCCCGGGCTCAGTGTGAAAGGCTCCCTGTGAGTAGGGCCAGCCCCAGGTCT